AAATTGTTTGTGGGAAAAAAATATTATTTATTTATAAAAAAAAAGTTTAAAAAAGTTAAAAAAAATAGTTTAATCACAGGAAACCGGATAAATTACTTATCTGGCACTTCGAGCCGAATAACTACCGCTACCTACAAGGTAGCTAATAATATTGGAAATCAAATTTGATTTTCCCAATATAATAGTTATTCGGCACTTCGTGTCGAATAACTATTAATTATCAATCACATATTTCTTCAGAATCTTTTTGATATTAAAATAATATTTTAAAATATCTAGATAATATTGAAAATATTTAGTTAACTAGAGTCAATCAATCTTTTGATTAATATTAATCATGTTTAAATACTGGATTTAAAAAATAATTAAATGTAAATAAAATTAGAAATTGACAAAAACTTAGTTTTTGTTAATAAATACTATCCTATGTCTTTAAATTTAGGGGTCCTTACATAAGTAAAAAGTGATTAAGCAATAAGTAGTAGATTAAATATATAGTAATAATAGATTGTATTTTACTGCTGCAGTACTATTCAATTGAGTTATTACTTAAGGTAGAAGTTAGGTTATTTTTTAAGTAAATTTAATGATATAAATATGATAAATCACATACCTTTTTAAGTTCTATATATAATAGTAACTCTTAGAATATAAGTTTTATAAGGTTATTTCATCTTAGATCTTTTTAATTATGTATTAGTATATTCTGATAATAGGTAAAGAATATAGTAATTTTGATTAGTATTGATAAAAATAGAGAAGTGATAATCTTTATAGCTGAAAGTAATTTCTTTATTCAAATTTAGCAATAGTTCTTAAAGTTTAAAGATCTTAAGTTTAGATTTTAGGTATTTATAATTTAGTGATAATTCTTAGATTAGTATCAATTGATGAGTTTTAATTTGAATTTAAATTCAACCATGACTTTAAAAGTCTAAGATTAGTATTAAAAGTAATCCAAATAATATTCATATAATTATTAATAATTTTTTAGTATTTAGGTACTGAAATTATAAAAAAAATTATGTAAATCAGTTAAATATAATTTTAACTATATAATAATAAAGAAAAGTTATGCATAAATTTAATATTTAGAAAGAAATAATAGGTTTGCCTTAATTCTTAGTAAATTTAATAATTTATAATTAATTATTTCTAGAAATTATAAGATAAATTTTAATCAATCTAATAAATTAATAAATTTATCATAATAATGAAAATATTAAAAACCTCTTTGATATATTAAAGTTAATAGTGAGATTTTTAACATTCAGTACTATGTCATATTTGTAGATTATATAATTATTACCCATAATATAATCACTTTAATTACTTTTAAATAAAATAAATAAAAATTTAATTTTTATAAAAATTCAATATAATATAATATAAATTTGTTATAGTAGTATATTGATTTATTTATTATAATATTATTGAACTTTTATATGATATTAAATTTATTATATTAAGAGCAATCAATTTAAAAATACTATTTATTAATAAAAGATTTTATTATTTATTAAAAAAATAAAATGAATTATAACTTACAATCAATAAAAGAATTTAATTGAAGGAGTTATATTAATAATTATATTTTAAGTAATTTAATTAATATAACTAATATAAATTTCTGAAAATAAATATTAATTATATCTTTTGTATTATTATACTTATTAATCATTTATAAATATAAAAATGTAAATATTCCTTGATTTAATAAATTTATTAATTAATAAAATATTATTTATTAAATAATTATTTTTATATATTATTTTTAAAATTATTATAAATAATTTTTGTTTGCACCAATCCCAATCCTACAAGCTAATACATAATAACACCATTGGTACTAGATATTTTTATTTTGAAGTTTATACTTAATAAAATGAATACTATGAGTTTTTTTTTTTTTAAATGTTTCTATCGGAAGGAATCAACAATATTTGTCCATTATAATTATCATCTCCGGGAGTTGGTATTACTTTACCTTGATCTTGATTGCGTTTCCATTTATATAAAAAGAATGCACCAACTGATAATAAACAAATAGCAGCTAAAGATCCAGAAATTGCACCAATTATAGCAATTTTATTATCAGATTGTTTTTGCGGAGCTGGTATAATTGTTTGTATCGGTGAAGGAGACGTGTCATTTGAATTTTGAAAAAAGTTTGTCCATTTATATTCATCATTATTACTAATATCAAGTAGTAGAATATCACTTTCAAATTCAGGATTATAATCATTTCCTATTAAACGTAAGGTTGGTTTTTGTATTTTAATTAAAAAATAATATGAATATTTTAAAAAGCAAATAATAAATAATTACCAAAAGATATAACCATGTATTTTCCGATTACATTTGCTCTATGACCATGTCGATTAGTAGGCCTTTTTCCAGTAACAGTTGGAATGGACCATACAAAATTGGTTAAATCCAACACATAAAGTGACTCGGTATTTTCTTTAACATTTAAACCACCAAAAATTATTACACGTTGACCGTCCAGTCCTATTAAAATTTAGAGAATAACCAATTAATTAAAAAATTCAAAAATTAATTGAAACCATTTAAAATGCATACCAGGGACGGCTGAAAAACTATTTCTATCAGAAGGGACTAATCCTGAAGTCGTCTATATTAAAGCGAGACAAATAAATCGCATTCAATTTGTTATATTATTATAATAATTAATTCATATTACATACTTTTGTTGTCCAAATATCATTAACAGTATCGTATAAATGAACATCTTTCAGCGAAATAAGTGTACTATTAAAAATTCCACCTAAATAAATAATATTTTGATTTGGTAAAATGGTAGAACCATAATCCTCTCTAGCGATCGCATTTTTGATACTTCCTCTTCCCCAACTAAAATTTATCGTATCTAAAATGACAAAATCAAGTACATCGCTACTATCTGTAAAAGAGAATCCACCAAAATAATATATTTTTCCTAAAGCATCGACACTAGCACATAAATTTGTTTTTCTAATAACATTTCCCGTAATTGCGGGAACGTTCCATGAATTCATTTGGGTATCAAAAGTGTATACCAATTCCATATTATCACCATTTGACGTTCCTCCGTATAAAAACAAAGTATTTTTTTTTAAACCACCATTAGCTGTTATGCCATCAAAATGCGATGGAACTTTATTAATGTTTGTTAAATCTTTCCATGTTAATTCTTGATTATCAAATGAAGCAGAAAAGTCGAGATAAAAAAACTCTTTTCCAATCGTATTTGCTGATACTTTGGTTGATAGGGTTAAACCACCCATGATATAAAGTTTATTATCGATAAACGTCGCAGAATGTTCATACCGTTTTGTTGGAATGAATTGTGAATTTATCGAATTTATCACAAATAATAATTGCAACGTAATATAACATGTCAAATATTTCTTTAGCATGATTATGGTTAAAAGAAAAAAAAAAGTATTTAAATTCATTAAAATTTGTCCCAGTGTTATTTATAATATGAAACATATGAAACACTATTACTTTTGTGTATTACGATAAATAAAATGGAAATCACACCTCATTAAATTTATCACGTGATTATATTCATATCCGATTTTCGATTTGTCAGTCGTATAAAAAAGATTATAATTCGTTTTTTTTTTTTTTTTTTTTTTTTTTTTTTTTTACGAAGAAAGCTCGAAGTGTATTTTTAATTTCGTGTTTGATCATCATTTCTATCTCATTTTTTTTTAAATCATTGATGATCTTGGAACATTCCCTCATTCGAATTATCCGAATTATCATTTGAATATCCGTTGTGTGACGTAAATTATCATCAATCTGATTCCAAATGAAAATGGCTAAATAAGGCTTTTATCCTATGCTGTGCAACAAAAGATCAGATGGACAAGAAAATAATAAGTACAGAATGTTACTTTGTAACATAATGTGACAAAATGTATATGGAAATGATATCATGAGAAAATGTGCACGATTTCGGGTAATTATGCATATGATTTTGGACATTTTAGTAAACAAACTTTTGTCGGGTATAAATAAGCCTGGGAAATTTCGGCAAATTTCGGTCATATTTTTTTTTTTATTTTTTACTCGAACGAAAAACAAAAATATATTTTATAATGCGTTTCATTAGACCAATTTTAACTTTAAAAAATTTATTGAAAAAACCGCAAACCGCTGGTCATATTACAAGGTCAACAACTGTTATAAATCGTCATGACTTTCATAATAAAACAAGACAATTTCATGGTTCAGCATTCGTAAAATACGCGTCTCCAACCACAGAAGAATTACCCATGCGTATTTTACTTCTTGGTAGTCCGGTATGTACTTTTAGCAAAATGAAAACAATTATTAGGAATTTACTCGAAATATTAAATTATTTTGTTTTGTTTATTGAAGGGTGCTGGAAAAGGAACTCAATCCTCTCGCATACAAAAAAGTTTTAATATTTCAGCCATAACTAGTGGCGACCTTCTTCGTCAGAATATAGCAAATGGTACAAGAGTTGGTAAAATTGCTGCCAAGCATATGGAATGTGGAGGTAAGGTGCTATTTATTGAGAATCTATGAAATCCTTTAATTGGAATTTCAGAAAAAAAAAGTAAATTGCGAGAAAGGATTGGGTCGTCAGAATATGAAAATGTGGAAAAACCAGCTTCACTGGTATCTATTTGTGTAACTTCAATTTGGAAAATATTTAAAACATTTTTCATTGTTCTGACATTCGAATTTACTGTTTTCAATTCTAGCATATGTTCCAGATAATATTATGATCGAATTGATCACTGATGAACTTCAAAGATTTAATCGTCAGGTATATACGGTTTAGTGAGCGTATTAATGTTTATTCGAAAAAAAAAAAAAAATAAAATTATTTTTAATACATTTGTCTTAAAATAGAACTGGCTATTAGATGGATTTCCACGAACCATTAATCAAGCGACATCCTTGGATGATAATTTATCTTTATCGGGTCAACCTTTAAATTTAGTCATAAATCTTCATGTACCTGAAGAAGTTATACTACAACGTATCATGGGTATGTCAATAATAATGAAATTTTATTTTACCATTGTGATTTTTTTTTTCCTATTGCGTTTTGCGTTTTAAACTTAATTTATTGAATTATAAGATCGATGGGTTCATGTGCAATCAGGACGCATATATAATCAAAGTTATAACCCACCTAGAATACCTGGGCTCGATGATATCACCGGTGAAAAATTAACAAAACGCGCTGACGATAACCCGGTAATTTTCATAATTGATCAAAATAATCTTTGTGAAGAATCAATTTATTAACATTTGACATTATTATCATTAAAGGAAACGTTTAAAATCCGATTGCAAAAACATCATGAATTAACCGATCCACTATTGGAATACTATGATAAACAAAACATTTTAATCACTTGTACTGGTCGCACGAGCGATGAGATTTATCCTCAAATCGAATCTGAATTAATTTCTCGATACAGTGGTGGAAAAATTATTCATCATGAAAATCGAGTTGTTGATATTCGCGATGATGACCTCGTCGTTAACGAGGAAAAGCTTTGAATATCTCAATTTTTAGTTTATTTAGCGTAACAACAGTTTTTTAATTCTCGTTTTGTATATTTTTATTTTTCCATCTTTGGCTTTACTTCTTGCTTATTATATATATATATACACTGTATATATGTATATACTTAATTACATAATTTTTTTTAATGCCTTTTTTGGCACAATTTTTTTTTTTTTTTTGAATTTTGTATTTTAAGTCTTCACATACGTAAGCATCTCGACGCTTTTTTAAAAATTATGTATAAAATTTTCATTTTTAAGTATTGTATATCTGATAGTTAAGAAATTATTTGACGTGTGGATTTTTTCCTGAACTTATTCATTTTATCGCTTGGTTTGGATTTTTGACTATTTAAATTATTGTGTGTTTTTTCATAAATAAAAAAATCGAATGTTCGGGTTAGATGAATTAAATTTGTGTGATATCAGATCATGTGACGGTAATAAATGTCCCGAATCTTTTAATGGCGCAACACAGCAAAATATTTAGCCCCTCTATTTTTAATGAATTAATGTAAATTTTAGTCCAAAATAATATGGGTAATTGGCCAATAAATGATTTCATTATTAGACTTTATATCAAATTACAAAATTCTCCTTAAAATAATATACTTACTGAAATATGGCGAGTGAAAATAAATTTAGGATAGGAGATGTAAACTGTGCAGTGATGGTTGAAAAGTAGTAAACGTTTTTATTTGGCTTTATTTTAAACATTCAAGTCATAAATCTTTGAAGGCAAGCACGGCAACAATCTTTTTTAGATAACTTACAAATAAAGCATTTATATTTATTGTCGACAAATTGAAATTCAAGATACCAGCCGTTGGAATCGGACTCGACGACAAAGTCAAATCTGTGAAAACCACGCAAGGTCGACATAGCGATAGGATATTCGAGTATTCGTTTGCAAATACTGTATATAGAATTAAATACTCCGATCTATTCGAATATTTCAGAAAAAGACCTTCGTCCGAAGAAGACTTACCTTAGGACTTGTAGGAAAAAGAATATTCCAAACAGAAATAAAATAATAAAAATAATAATCAATAATAATCAATAAAAAGTAAGAAAGAAAGATACCATCCGAAAGAAACCTTCATAAACTGATTCGAGTTAGCAAATTTTACTTCTGACCAAAAATTCATCGACTAAAATGATCGAAATTTATTTATATATATATTATAGTCTTTCGCAATTTATTAAAGTAAAAAAATTAAATATTAAGCTGTCAATATTAAAATTATGATTGTTAATACTCAAAGAGATGCGACTTTAGTCAGCGGCTGAGTCGCTGAGAAGGTCTAAAGGCTGTCCACTAATTTGAAATATCCACAAGCTTCGGATTACAGGATTTGAAAGAGATCATGTGGCGCAATATAGATAAAGTTGAATTTTGTCATCAAAGTATTTATTTGCCTATATAAGTTGTACTTTTCAGTATATTTGACATTTGATTTGGTCCTATTTCGAAAAAGCCATGGGTAAATTTTACCAATCCATTATCCGGTCGAAAAAGCCACGGATAATGATTTTAAAGAAATTTTATTTTGTATGAATTTGCACCACGTAATAACAACCTGGTTATTAGTTGGATTAATTTAACTATTTATGTTCCGGCACGGTATTATTTGTAATTTCGAACGGGACGCAAATGCGGCCCAGATTTTGCGGTATTACACCTTTTGGGCCAACAATTCCAACAATTATTTGATAAATGTAAAAGGAAATGACAATTTTTTTTTTTCAACAGAATTATTACTTTTAGATAGATTTCTTAACAAAATATCGATCGCGCCTTAATCACTTGTCGAAAATAGTACTAGCGTTATGGAAGACAAACCGCATAACGGTAAACCTATTACTATGATGGAAGTATCACCAAATGCAAAGTACATTGTTACTTATAGTGAAGAAGACCAAACAATTGTCTGGTGGGATGCTGGTATAGAAAAAGGCAAGCTTGAGCCAATTAAACCTGCTGAGAGAGAGCAATTTCACATTTTACGCATTGAAGACGAAGAGGAAAAAATTGTTCAAATGTGTATTTCTGATAATAAGGAGCTAGTATACAGTAAACTTGAATATGGTTCATATATTTATTATGATAGTAAAATTGACATACACAAATATTTAAGTAAGTGCAATTATTAGCTTGTTATTTTACAAATATATAATTTATAATTGTATTTTATTTATTTAGAAATCATTAATATTAATAATCCAGTTCAAGAAATAGAATTGTATTTTAAACATTATATTAACATATTTAATTGTAACTTTAACACGAGAGGAGAATTTATTTTATATGGCAAAATTGACCATCCAAGTAGGTCAAATATTATTTGGATTTATTCAACTCAGACTAAAAGTAACAAATGGATATGTCAAAATGTTTATGAAGTCCCTAAAGAAGCGGAGCTAGTAAGCATATCTAAATATGATAAAATTTGGCTACGTATCAATAGCCGCATATATGAATGGGATATCGTTACTGGTAATGCTATATTTATGAAAAATTTATATGAGGTAATGATCAATTATTAATTTTCCTTGTTAAATTTTAGATACAATATTAATAAACCAATATTTAATAGGTTGAAGAGGAAAATATGAAATATATTCAAATCTCTAATAGTGAAAAGTATACTTGTCTGATAAAATTATCGTTTATTCTAAAACAGATAATCTGAGAGTATCGTTGGATTTAAACGATGGTATTATTTTTATCTTTAAATAATTTTATGTAACGTTATCATAAATAAAATTCTTAAATTTTTTTTTTTTTTTTATTATAAGAACAACGACTATATAATTTTATGAAACGTACTGGTTCACATTGTTTCTTGCTTAATTTCTTTAATTATTATTCAAATAATGAAATTTGGAATTTTGTAATTAAATCCTGTTGGAAGACTTATAACCTATCGACAGAGGAATATATCCCCGAGTATTTGTCGAACATACCAATTTTATTTCATGAATTTCATATGTTTGTAATTATGGAAGGGCATGTTTGGAAAATTAAATTTGACGAGTTGAAATTTGACGAGTTAAAATTTGATATTAATTTTTTATTAGAGGAAAATACCGATGATTATTATAATGATGAATTTACGGAAGGTTGGAAAGCATATTTCGGAAATGAAGCAGATAGTGAATATCCTTTCATTCCAGATTTGAATATTAATACATCCAAATTATTTAAACAAGTACCTGAAAAATATAATTTAGGGAATATTCGATTAGAAATTTATATCGGAATACGTGTTTATAAAAAAAGTAATGAATGGGATTTAATTTGTGAAGAAATTAAAAAAACTAAATATGATAAAATATAAAAATAATAGGAATGGGCGAGATATATAAGAGTAATATTGTTATATTTACAGATATCGGCATTTTTATTTTTCATTTAAATACACATTATCAGTTGATATTGGATCATTTTCAACATATTATCAGATATGTTAATAAAAAATATGTCGGTATGGATGATGAAAATTTTCCAATTGAAGGATGGATTTCATACGTAAAGAATGATAAAAAAAGATTTTTAAAATATGGTGTTGAGTTCTTAAAGTTTAACATTAAGAAACATGATTTAAAATTAATAAAATGTTTAAATTATTTTAAGGATTATTTAGAAAGCAATAAGCTGTTTTTAAGCATTATTACTACTAATATGCCATTATTGTCGAAATATTATCCCGAATATATTACGAGATATTCATTGGATACAAACATGATAATAGATTCACCTGATTATAAAATAGAATATATTATCACTTCACAACTTTTTCCATTTTCGTGGTTATCTGAAGTTTTCAGTAATATTCAATTTTGTTTGTACTTTTGGAATATTTTACTTTTACCCATTTATTTTCTTTATTTTACTTTTCTTAATTATTTATAGTTTACTATATTATTTTCATTTTATCAATAATATTTATTCTATCAATATCAATATTTTTTTAACTTTTTTTAAAATTTTTAAAATACATACTTTAACTTTTCGTAAAAATCCTAATCCTACAATTACTTTAATTATTCCTTATATCAAATTTGTTAGTTATCCACATGACGATATTTGGTGGGTGGAATTAATTAGCCCCCAGCCTAGTCCATTTGTAGAAACAATTACTGAAAATATATATAAGACATGGAATGGAGAAGCATTAATTAATTTCAAGTGGAATTCATATGGAAAACTTTATTATTCAATGATTTGGATGGGATTTATTGCCTTGCTTGGATGTTTTAGTATCGCCGCAACATCTGAATCGAAAGATGGCAGAAATATACTTTTAATTGCTTCTGCTATTCTTGGATTTATTCACTTAACTTTTGAAATTCGTCAATTTATTTATAATCCTATTAGGTGGATTCATGATTATTGGAATATATTTGGTATATTAATTACTATCAATTTATTATTCTGGAAAAGATGTAATTAATCTTTAATTTTTTATTATAGATATAACAGCATACTTTCTTACAATATATGCCTCAATTTCTTGGCTTAAAACAGATTATAGAAATGTCCCTTTACTTTCTTTTACATGTCAATTTCTAGATTTTAAATTTTTACTGTTTTTTAGAGCATTTGAGTATTTTGGCGTTTATTTTGCAATTATTATTGGTGTTGCAAAACGAATAATCTCATTCCTGATGGTCTTATTGATCATTTTAATTAGTTTTGCGCATGCATTCTATATTTTATTGTCTTTGGATGATCCTTGGGAAATTACTACTTCTTATACTGATAATTATGGTAATCCATATCTTATTCAAAAACCAGATGAAAATACAAACATGTTCAGTCAATATAAAACTGCGCTTTTTGCAATGTTTTTATTTCTGACAGGTATGTTTACGAGTATTTTTATTTTGAAATTTAAGTTATCATTTTACTTAACTTAATTTATTACAGGTGATTCGAGTGCTCTAACACATTGGCCATATAAAGAGAATTCAACACTTGTTGTATTAATGGTTTTATTCTCTTTCTTGGTTGTCATATACCTTATGAATTTATTCATCGGGTTAATTAATATCGAGATTAAAAAAGATAATAATAGATCTTCCTATTTGATACAATAGGCGAAGGTAACAGAACTTACATATTTTTTTCATTATATCATAATAAGTGATATTCTTATTTTAAACAATGTAGGTTTTGGCAGAAATTGAGTTGTTTTACTTATTGCCAAATCAGAGACGGTGGAAATCATGGTTTCCTGATGTGATGTGTGTCTTATTTTATACATTGTACAATTGTCATTGTTGCAATTTTCCAATTCATATAATTTTATTTTATAGATATTATTATGCTGATGTTAAAGAAACGCATAGAAAGGTTAATGAGTTAATAAAAGATGGTGAATGGAAAGCAGATGAATTTCCGGAGATGAAGAATAATTTATTAAAATTATTGAATATCCATAATCCTGAATATATTTAACTATCATTACTTCTTGAACTGAAGTTTTTGCTATTTTTGTCTTTATAAAATTTATATTAATAAAGAATTATCATTAATGTTTTTATATTATTAATTGGAAATCAATCAATGAGATCTCGATAAAAGTTCTGCTTACTCTTAAATAACTAAATACTTGTATTTTAAAAAGGTTCTCATGTCATGAGAAACAAGATGATGTATTTGTAATTGGATAAAATCGTTTAAATGCATTCTCATATTAATCTTTCTAAATTAAGATATACTCTTACCATTTGATTCAACAACTAATCCGTCAAAATCCTGTTATTATTCTTCTGAATGAAATTAATATTGTACTTATCTAAATATAACTGTTTTTTTTATTTAGTTTGTCTGATCTGATATATCTCCACTTAATGCGATAATATTGTTTTCTTAAATATATAGATTTTTCCAGAAATTGAGCGATTTATTTCATACCTTTATTCGAATTTAGAGAAGCAGGGATAATAAACGGAATCCGGGAGATGTATAAAGTTATTAAAGTAGGCTCAATAAATATAGTTCCGAAATTCTAAAATCGTTATTTATATTATTTACATTTACATTGATCACGGGTATTATCTTTAAGCTAAAATTTACAAACCGATTGTTCCGCTAAACAATGCCCTTTGCTGTAATTTTTTCCTAAATGATATTCTCTTTGTATACGTAAATACAGTCAGAACTCGTTATAACGAACTCTTGATATAACGATCACTTGATGAATTCTCGTTTAAACTAGTTTTTTAAATTTTTTGTTCTATATTAAAACATAAATAAATCGTTATATCAAATTTATAAAACGATTTTTTTTCAAAAATTTTTATTATAAACCGGGAAGGATCGTTAAATCGAGTTCTGACTGTAATCTCAAATTGGGAAGCTTCCTAATAACTTAGAAAAAATCTTTTCAAGAATTGTAATAGAATAGATTTCTAAAATCTTTACAATTTTGTAAATTGTAGCATATAAATTAACCAGGAAATTCGTGAAGAAAGTGAAGAAAGGATATTTGTATTGTAATTATTACGTGGGAAGTAATCTATTGAGAGATTTGAATATTCTAATAAATGATTGTTGCGCTTGCACTTCGTGTGTTTATAATATAAATAAATAAATATATATATTGTTTAAGGAATTAATTATAAGATTATCGGACAAATATAAAGAGAAATATGACTTAATAAACTAATAGTTCAATGGTTAATCTGAATAATTGGCATTCTTCTTTCTCATCTACAAATATTAAGAGCGATTTTGATATTTTTCTTTTAATAGCATTTATCTTAAATCTTCACCAATAAAAGAGTAGATAAGATTATAATAAATAATGAAGGAATTAATAAAGAACAAAAAGCATTACTTTTTTTTTCTTTTAGATTCGATGTAATAAATAAAATTTTAATCAATAATTTACATATTCATAAAAATTATGCCAATTATTTAAACTACCATAATCCAAAAATAATTACCCGTTTTCTATATATATTTTTTTTTGAACTGAAATTAACAATGCTTGATGTTTAATATTATATAGATTTTTTTTTTTTCAGATATTGAAAAAATTAAATGAGAAACGCCAGGGAAATCTGGAATTTTGGTTCTCAGTCAATTTGGTCAATAAAAAAAAAAAATGCATAACCAAAAATTTTGATTTCCACCTTCTAGTAATTGACCAACTTGCTCCACATTTTCAAGAAATTCTCCTCCTTAAATGATAGAAATACCGTAGCTTAATTTAGGTTTGGCCCAAAATCTACATAATCTATATTTGGAAAGATGCACTGCTTGAAATTAATGTCGATCAAACCTAAATCTGATTAATGTTACCCGCCATTTTAACCGTCTATTTCTTTTTTAGTTACTCCAACTCCGCTATAACTTTGGTTTCTAAATTTTTAAAATTATGAATGATTCTATCTATAAACTTTTAACCTGAAAAAACATGAATATTAAAAATTATGATATATAAGCTTCCATAAATTTTGATAATATTACTGAATATTATCAGTTGTGTTTTTCAGATTATGAATATTAACGTTAAACACTTATAAAGTTAAGAATATTAAGGATAAAATTAACCAACCTAATATACTGTATATAACCTCTTTTAAACACATATTTTTGATTGAGATTTCGTCATATATGATTGATTGTATTAAAAAATTCTTTTAATAAAATGAAGCAGATTGTTCAATTTACGAGTTTTTTTCCCACCATTATATAAACTTGAAGCCATCTAAACCCATTTTCAATTGTTTTCAAATTATGTGGATGATGATGATGATGATTTAAGCCAAAAATAATTACCACTACAAATATAACGCGTTCTAAACCAATTTCATCCTCAATTTGTTGCTAAAATCGGCAAAGTTATCCAAATGTTCAAAAATTTGTGGATTTTTAAATATAAACCATGATTGGCCTGTCCTTTTGTTAAATCTTGCACAAACATTCCAAAGTTAATTTTGCCATAATTTCATGGTGATCAAATTTTAAAGTTATCCAAATGTTCAAAAATTTGTGGATTTTTAAATATAAACCATGATTGGCCTGTCCTTTTGCTAAATCTTGCACAAACATTCCAAAGTTAATTTTGCCATAATTTCATGTTGATCAAATTTTGAGGCATTATGTCTTTCGGGCATAAATGCACCCAACATAAAAATAATGTCTGTAATACAAAAATTTGTAAATTAAGATGGAATCAATCTGAAACAAATCGATAATTATTGTGCAAATTAATTTCGCTTACTATCAAATAATGCATATAAAATTCCGTTGATATGAATCCAAATGATTGTTCTTTTTTCATGTGATATAAAAAGTACAATATAACATAAGATTTTAATTTTCGCAAGACTTGTTGTTGTTTATCACATGTGATGTAAATTCATTTTTTTATAAGGTGATTCATAATATAATCAATGTATTTGCTAATGTTTAATGTTTACAATATTAAGGATTTAACGGAAAACTGAACCCATTTGGTAATCCTTGCCGAGATCATTTTCATTAATAATTTATGTTCTACAAAATTTTTTCTTATTTCTAATCAACATTTTTTACATTTTTTGAAGCATTTCTATTCATTTCTAAATGTGAATGTAATTGTAATAGGTCAAGCATAAGTTCTCAATCGTAACATAAACAGAGATCCAAGATGCTTTGCTTTGTTCGAGTGCTTTGATAATGTGTAAAATGATTGACCTGAAGCGTTATTGTTTGTTCGATGAATTTATAAATTATTCAAAATATCTTACCAATCTTGATGATGTATAATCATTACATTTGAATATTTTTAATATATTTGTTTATTAATGTTGATATATCTGGATCGCTCGATATTTCCTTCTTTTCGTGAACCCCTCCTGAAACCATTTGAAAAAAAAAAAAAAAAAAAATGGTTGTAGTGGTTGATATGACTTGTTCGTGAAATCAAGCACTGTAGATCGTGAACTTTTTTTTCCTTTCATTTGGCTTGTTTTTCTCAAAGAGTTTCATTGAGAGGAAAAAAAAAATCTAGACCTATGTGGCAGAGTTTCCTTATTTCTCATTGCAAAAGTTCAGACCGTTGTACGTACAACAAAAAATTCGGGAAACTTACTGAAACGCTCCAGTTATGCATGAAAGAGGATTTTACGGTAAAACTGATTATTTATTTTAAACTTTAAATAAAAGAAGCGCTGAAAGAGGGAAAGAATTGAGAAATATGCATTACACAAAATCCCTTAAGCTTTAAACAGTAATGAGATGAGAGAAATCGCATAACTGTTTTTTTTTAGACTATTTAATAATGACAAACCAGTACCTTTTTATTTTTTTTCTTGTGAAAAAAAGGTAGGTTTATAATGAATAAAGAAAAAAAATAAAAAAAAAATAATTAAGGATAGGATGGTTTATAAAATTACGAAATACATTAATAACTGGATGTTGCCTTATCATGGAGTAATCAGTAAATAACCGGTTGTGTCTTTCATTTAACCCTTTAAGACCACAAATCGCATTGGCATTCGACGAGATAATACATCAATGGAGAGTAAAAATGTTCAAGTGAAAAAGTTGCGTGATAAATCTTTTTTTTTTTTTTTTTTATATAAATTGTACACACAAGATTATTCATGATAACTGTTACTTTGTAAGGTATCAGGATATCGCTTCTTATTTAAGTCATATTATCGTTATTCAAGTAACTTTTGTTTGAAATTCAATTATCTCTTGCATCAATCAAACCTCTCACACTCCCATACAATGTTACATAAGGAATCTAGTAATGACTATAATGACTAAGAAATTATATAAGCGGTAATTAACTGGTTTTAGCTCATTATTAATCTTTTTTTTTTTGAGCGAGAGTTTCACGATCCATTTAAGGAAATAATTCATTCATGCATAACCAGCAAAGAAAAGTATTCTTTGATGTTTGCTTATTTTTGATTTCACAATGATAATTTGCCTTCTAACCAAAATTGCATAACTGATTACACAATCTGAGGCGCTTCATGCATCGACTTGGAATGATCGTTGTTTAAATTTGTTAAGAGAATTTCAAAAAACATTAAGCCACAAAATTTTCTTTTTTGTTTTGATCTACCCAAGCACGTTGTTGTTTTTTTTTGATTTCCCACTACGTCAATCGCTCCAAAAGATTTTTCATGCATCGCAACACCGGAAACCATGTGCCACATTCCTTTCGTTTACTGCGGAATAAAATATAATATTTTTTTTTTTCTTTTTTTTTAAAGTTGTCCAAGTAATAAAAAATAATTTATAGGAACAAGCTTTTCGGAAATTTTTTTTTTTTTTTATTGAGTGGGAAAAAAAAGATAAAACAGGGAAAAAAAATTTATTTATATTTCATTATATCAAAATTATTTAATTTATTGCAACGTGTGGCCTGGCCTTGTTCTAGACCTTCTGGGCGTCTAGATTGATTTACATGAAATATTTACATGAAATTTGAAAGAATGTCATAATAT